GCGCCGCCGCCCGCTGAGCCACGGCGAGGGGAGCGCTGGGGAGGTCGGGGCTGAGCTGAAAGAGGTTTCGGGACTCGGGAAGGAGGAAAAATGGACAAAGAGGGAGAGAGGGAAGGGGGGGAGGAAAAAAAAAAACAAGAAACCAAAAAAGCGCAGTTGCATTGGCCGGGAATCGAACCCGGGCCTCCCGCGTGGCAGGCGAGAATTCTACCACTGAACCACCAATGCCCCCGCTAGAAGCTATTTTTCCGGCCGCGCCCCTCTACCCGTGGGAGAGCGTTTTTGCACTGATCCTATCTCACTTTCGCAAAATCTTCACGGAGCAGTAAAAGACCTCTCGGGCTTTCACGAAAGTTTAAAACAGATGTGCCTGCTAGTCCCTCTGGATCATATAGAAAATTAGCATATAATACAGAATTACAGGCAACAGATCCTTTATGTTTTTAAAGGAAAGACAAATTGCACTTTTCCAGAACGGTAACTACCGTGGACAGAAAGCTCACTACAAAAATGATACGTGGGGCAAAATATGTTCTGAAAATCTATTTGGATTCTGAAAATTAGGCACTTTAGACATGATAACAATGAAAAAAAATTGTATTTTAGAGGTCCTTCCAAACCAAATTTCTAGCTGCGTGCAAACAGAACACTGTAAGCTGTATAATACTCCCTTTCCTCCAGTTGTCTTTGAAAACACCTGTGCATACATCTTCAGGCTCATTATATGTCTTTTTCCACCATCAGCCTGAGTCTTTCTCTTTTCTTACATATGCTACTACATTTTGCAAGAGCTCTTTTCACTCTTGAGAAAACTGAACACATTTCATTGAGTGCAAATAACTGAAAATCCCAATGGCTGCAGCAGGGATAATTACGTCTGCATCAGAGATTGAGAGCCAGGAATACATTAAATCACTTATTTTGCTATTGGCCCCTCAGGTAGAAGTTTATATACAAACACGACAGCAGTAACTCCCTACAGAATCACACATGCATGCTTGTTAAGAGAAATCTAGGGAGCCAAACCGGTTGGATATTTTGTGCCCACAAGCTCCCTCGCTTGTCCTGTGATACTAGCAGAAAATTCATTCACCCAGTTTTCCCTCCAGAATCAAGCCAGAAGAAGGTCCACCCTCAGTCTGGGACGTTGCTTCTCTCTGCGGTGTTAGAAATCCTCACCTAGCTCTGAAGGATGGGACCAAACTGCAGCAGTTCAAGGGCAGTCTTCAGTGCAAGGACAGCGGGAGACGCACTCGGGTACTCGGGTGTACCACCGCGATCAGGTGTCTAAGAGGTGGGCAAAGTTTAAAACCCTGCTGCAAAGGTTTTTCAGCCCTTTTCAGTTGCAGACCCCTGAAAAAGTGTCAGTGGATATGTGGGCCATGTTCACGTACACAGATTGTAGCACAGATGGAAATTAATTCCTGTTCCAGAATCACCTTTCATCAATCCTTAGGAAAAAGACCAAGGAGAAAGGTCTTCACACTGCAGACTGAAAGCCATTGGTCTGAATTAGTGGATAGGATGTGATGGATGCTGTCCTTTTTCATGTCAGGATTAACTGACCTTGTACTTGGGCCAAAACTGGCACAGCAAATGCTCTGTAACTTCTCTGCCATGCTTCAAACCTTGTCTGTGAAACTGCTTGTACACTTGCTCCCAGCTAGGTCAAAGCGAAGAAAAGAAAAGAAAGAATGTCAGCTTTCTTTCAAGAATATACTACCAGACTCTTTTTCAGGGTTTTGTTCTAGAAATCCACTAATCCTTGTCTTCCCCTCATCATTCTCTTTAGACACGAGTTGAAAATCTTAAGCATATTAATTTTATTCTCCTTGGCACCTCCTCCTTATCTCTCTCCCCTAAACGCAATTTATCATCTACGTTTTCAGTGTTTCTCCAAAAGTCTCATTCCAGACCTTTGCTGATACACTTTTTTAGAAGCCCTGACGACCATGTCCCATCCCAGCTGCTGGGAAGAATAAGCATAATACACATGCCTCTCAGAATGGCTTTTGAATTTTTTTTCCAATAGAGACATATCCTTCCTAAATATTTTCCAGTGGAGACATACACCCTGTTGGCAATTTCACAAAAATAGACTGGCCAGAGATCCACTGACATCATGCAAGGGAGAAGAGGAATCTCTAAGAGAGAGCTCATTATCCATACCTACAACTTTTCCGGAGAGGTGGGATGATTAGCCGAGTTAACTTTGTTTTTAATGGTTGCAGTTTAGATGTTAGACAGTTATGCTACACCATCCATAGGGAATGCAGACATAGGTTTTCTAAATGTGCTTAGCATGTCAACATTTTAAGCATTGGCTTGTGATTGTAACCGCTAAGGCTTGGTGAGAGAGGGGCCTCGGTATTAACTATTGAAAGCAGGGGGCCTAGTAATTGCTATTGAAAGCAGATCTGCATGGTATTTGTATTCTTTGTCATGAAAGATGTTTACTGTATTCAGCATTTTGCTGATCACCCTATAGTGTCTTTTTTTCTTTTACATTCAAAATTCATTAAACAAAGTTGATTTTTAACAAAAAATGTCAGCACTGCTTCACAGCAGCCTAGCTGACAGTGCATTTGACTAGCACGTTCAGTCTATAGAGCTTTTTTCTTTTTCTAAACCAAAATGACAGTTAAAAAAGAATGTTTTTTAAAGATAGTGTAGAGCAGCAGTTTATGTCCTCTTCTTTCTTTACTGGACTCAGTTTTTACAATTAGTCCTACTATGAATAGTGTATTTCTAGAAATCCCTAAGGCTCTCCTTCAGAGCTAAACTCCACACGTATTAGTCTCTTTCAACAAAAAGGCACTCTAAAAGAAATAGTAAAGATGTGACCTTGATTACAAAAGCAAATACAAATAAAGTTTGAATCTCTGAGGACATTAAAATATATTTAATTAAACCTCTCCATGCTGCAAAAGGGGCAATTTACTCATTATCTCATAGTACATCAGCCTGGAAAAGAGTATAGATGGGAATATTAATGTATGACCAGCGAGGGCTGGCTGCTCCGCAAGGGAAGGTGAGGCAGGAGTAGAGTGCACTAATAAGGCCGGAGCGAGCAGTGACCTCACCACCAAGGAGATGAGATGCAGAACATCACCACCAGGTCAGGATCAGGGCCAGAGAGAGCGGTGAGGGTCAGACACAGTCCACGGCTCACCTAGCAAGACTGTCGTGACAAGGCAGGTGCACGGCCAGCCCAGGAAGCCCAGCCAGGGGGTCCGGGTCCAGGTGAGACTCACGGAGGTAGGAGAGCAGGCGCAGACTTAGCTGCTGTGCGGCTGCCGTGTAGCACAGGCGGAGGCCAGCGGTAAAACCTCAGCTTCAGAGCAGTTCCCAAGGGCAAGGAGGGGCAGGCCCTCGCTTAGAGCTTTCTTCACGACAGCTCTTATCAGTAAAGGAGCTGACTTCCACTCAGCCAGCTAAACTCCAACTTAGCCTACTAAAGTCCTAGAAGGAGGATACACTGCAGGCCGTGATACTGTGTCCAGAATGGAAAATAAGTAGAACATACGGTACTTTTTCATCAGAACTTCCTTGGTATTTAACTATGCGTTGGGTTTTTGGGGGCAATTTTTCTATTTCACTAAGCAAATAAAAGCCTGAAAGAATAAGACAGGAAGTGGAAGTGGAAAGACAACAAAAACAGAACAAACAGAGAAGATAGTAATGATGAGAATACATTTCAGTGTGCATTAGAAGACCTATTTTGCAGTGCTGTTTCACTGTTTTCCCAAAAAACAGTTCAGCTCCCTGATGCCAAGCCTCTTTAAGAGATCCTATTTCATCTATAAATGGGAGAAGAGAGAATTAATACATCTCCTAGATACAAACTAGGACAGGAGTTAAAACAACATACTACAAGCAAACTAATCCCTATAAAATGTGTTAAGTACACAGTGATACTGCTGACAGATGCCATGTGAAAGCATACATCCATTACTATGTATAATATCAGGCATAGATTAATAAAAATAAGATCATCTGGTAACACCCACAAAAGGCTTCTTTCTTGCAAAACCAGATTTGGAGTCAAGGCATAGATTATGAAAAAGAACACGGCAGAAATCGAACTCAGTTGTCTCCCCTGAAAAATACTCAAGTGCACACGGCTGCAGATTCGTGTCCCAACCCCACCTCACAGCTTCCAGTGGAACAATTGATTTCAATGGCAGCAAGGCCAAACTCTAGGATACATAATCACGAATATTTCATATCAAGTCACTGTGTTACCAATCTCTGCCTGGAGCACCTGGGATCCCTCCCTTTCCCCCTTTTTTAGTTTGGGTAAGTCCTGTTCAATATCTTCAGACAGAAACACACGCAATCCTTACACAGGTTGTGTCCGAACCTTGAGCCTATATCACAAGCATCATGAAGCAAAGATGCTCTCTGTATATGGTCCATTCTGGTTATAAATTCAGTGCTTACTATTTTTGCAACACATCAGCAACCTTCTGTTAAAGCCCAGAATAAGGACAAAGACACTCCTAAATGACTAATGAGACAAGAAAAGTGGTAAAAATGAGGAGATTCAGAATGTGATGACAAAATGATCAAGCCCTGTTTCCTAGTGTAGATGTCCTAGTGAAAATAGGAGAAGGAGATTAGTAGCAGAACTGAGGGAAGAACAATAGAAAATGACAAGTGAGTCAGTTAAAGAGAAGAAAAAAAAATGGGAATAGGAAAAGTGGATTCTTCTCCCTGAGCTCCCTCAATGGTCTGGACTGTACAGATTGAAAAATATTATATTGTAGTACCACACTCACTAAGTCAAACCAGAAAGCAATCTGCTTTCTGTGGAGTGGCTGGTGTAAAGTAGTCTGTGTGTCTGGAGAGCTAACGAGATTTTGGTGCTGAGGAACAGCTTTGGGAGCTACTCTTTCCATGGCTATCCTGTATTTTAAATCAGATCTTTGGATATTTAAGGATATTTAGGGTTTGACGGGTTCAAGATATGGGCTATTTGCCAGGGCTGCAGGGTGCTAGAGCCAGTGACCCCACCTTACCCTCTGTGCCCACTGCAGCACTGGCACTTCAGCCTGCATAACCTCGGCCCCACAGCCGCGGCCAGCTGGAGGAAGCCTGAGAGTAACCCTATGCAATTGGGGACAACAGGGAATCCCCAGAGCTGTACCTGCAGCATCCTTTGAAGTGGGGGGGGAAAGGTTCATCCACACAAGAACAGAAAGGAGCAATTAACTCCCATCTGTTTTATTCTTATGTGTTTGCTGGGGGGGGAGGGGAGAGGCAGCAATGGGAACACAGCATCAATGATCCATCCATAATACCAAGTACACACACAAATACCAATTAGAGAGTGATGACAGACTGAGACAACTCCTTCAGTGCAAGGAGGTTTCAAATGTTTCCTAGAAAAGGAGTAGACTTGTCACTGAAACTACACAGATGCCACCTTGGCTCTGCAGAAGCAATGTCTTAAGCTAGACCAACAGGAGTACACTCCCAGGCAAAATGGTGGCATCTCTCCCATCCCTGCACCTTACCACAGCTCTACCTCAGAGGCAACTTTTCTCCCTGATTTGCTAACTATGTCCTAATCAAGCAGGAGCCAGCAGGAGAGCGGTGGGGTAGGATGGAAGGGAGCTGGGGAGACCAGAGCGGGGCTGGCCCCAGGGACCCCCCGCCCGGGGGGGGGGGCGCGGGCAGGCAGCAGGGCTGGGTGGGCAGCGGAGGTTTCTGTCCTGCTGCCGTTGGGCTGGGGCTCTCGGCCTCCAGAGGGGAGAGCAGCTCGCGGGGTGCCGGGGCGGCAGGCGGGGACCCCGGGCCTGTGCCGCGGGACAGAGCTGAGCCTTGCTGTTCCACAGGTTGCACGAGTTCCAGAGATTGCTACGCACGCAAGCAAAACGTCGTCCGAAATGGCAACCGAGGTGAGAGTGAGCTTTGCTTCTTCTACTGTACTTGTCTCTGGGATGCGCTGACAAATGCAAGCTGAACTTACAATCCCAGCAGTGCAACCTGCCATATTCATTAGAGTGCTTTTTTCCACCTGATTGGTTTTCCTGGGGTTTTTAAATAGAGAAGGGAACAACAAAAATATTTGCTGCAATATTTCTGATCACTAACCTCTGCTTCTGGTGAAAACCCACAGTAGTTAGGATATACTTAAATGCTTGTTCCCGTTAGCTATACTAAGCTTGTAGTGCTTAGTCTCTAGTATTACCCTTTAATTTCCCATCCCTGATGGTATTCTTTCCTTATGACTATCTTCCCAGTGAGGATCTGCAAAACATTACTTTTCTGAATCTGATTTTCAGCTCATATTGATAAAGCTGCCTTAAAAAAGATTACAAACACCCCGTGCCTACATTCGTACCTTGCAGACTCTCACCTGCTGTCCTCTCAGGCACGGCGGTTCAACAGGGATTGCTAGAGATGTGCACAGAGTCCCTAGGGTTTTTTTTTTACTCAACAATGCTCTGTCTAACTGATAAAAGCAGGGACAGACTAACTTGCAACTTGTCCTGGGCAGCTTTCCGCTGTCCATGGTATTGGTACGTGGAGTCTGAGAGTCCTAAAGACAGCTTGCTTGGAAACCCTTCTTGGGGTTTCTTTGTTTTTTGGTTTTTTTCTTCATGAACATTTATAATTCTGAAAAGTACTTAAGTTGTTAGAGAAGGGAATTGTAGCCAACTTAGTTCAGCTTAGCATAAGTCTGATTCTTGACTGAGGGAGGACACGGAAAGGTGCACTCAGCTGTTTTTTACTATATGCACTGGGTATAATCCAAACTGGGAAGATACCCAACTACCCTTAAGGGAGTTGTTTGGATCACACAAGCAAGATAAAATAATTAATAAGGACACAAATCGGCACAGCCGGGTGGGGGAAACAGAAAACCTTGGCCAGTGGGGCCCAATCCAAATTGGGATTACAATGATATAGGGGACAGAGCTGCTTGCCAGACAGCACTCCGGTGCTTCAAATGGTAACTTCCAAGCACTTTATAATTACAGCAGTGTTTTCATGGAACTGGCTTGGGTTGGCTCAGAGCTCTTCTGGCAGTCAAAGAATTAGCTTCCTTTTGCCTCCACACAAAAAAGATTCCCGATTCCCAAAACTAGAAGATACTGGCTTGCACTGTATTCTTTACTGACCTGTTTACCTTTTTTCCCTTTAAGAGGCTGTCAGAGGGTCGGTGACCTGCAGCTGCCTTACTAGACAGATCCATGCTGGTCCTGCACCACACGCCCATAGAGCTGTTTTCAAGGACAGGACACGCTTGCTCCATAGTCCAGTTGAACTAAAGCATCTTGGAGCACTCCTGACCCAGACCTGACAGGTCAAGGGCTAAACACTAGTGACAGCGACCTGTTCCCACCTCTTCAGCTGCTTGCAAAAGGTCCCAAAGTCCAGTGGCCCTTCTGCTCAGTGCTACTACACTGAAACAACATGCCTGAGCATGGCCTCTGTCTTACTTGGATAAAGAGTACGTTAGGCATGAGATCATTTTTAGGAGACTATATAAATAAAACTTTTTAACTTGCCTTTTAATTCATTATTTTCAGGGGGATAAACATCTAGGGGGAAGACTCACCGGAAGCATGGATCCCATCTTGGAGATTCTCAACTCCTCCATTGCTGTTGACCAGAGACTGTCCGATGTTGATATCCAGGCGAGCGTGGCTTATGCCAAAGCCTTGGAGAAGGCTGGCATCCTCACTAAACCCGAGCTGGAGAAGATCCTGAGTGGCCTGGAAAAGGTATTTCTGTCCTTGGCAAACTGTCCCATCTACTCTGGCCGAGGTACAGTTCCCGCGCTAGCCCTGGAACCAATGGCAGCTCACCTCACAGCATCTCGGGCAACTTCCCTGATTCACTTTTCTAAAAAGCATTCTTAAATATCCTCATGTCCTATTCCTTAGAGCAAGGCATTCTCTGAAGCCCTTTCCTGAAACGGGGAGATGCTGCCCTAACTCACAGGCCAGCCTGAGAGGCCCATGCGTACTGCACCTCAGTACTCTCGGAGACACCCCGTGGAGAGCATCGATGCTCAGATTCCCTCTCGCTAACGGCACCAGAGCCAGGCACTGGCATGTCAACCAGCTGACAAGCCAGGAATGAGGCCCTGAGGTCCCGAAGAGCATTACCGAAGCCCTGGTGCCTCAGAGGGGTGCACGCTATGACCTTCCCTTCCGCCCTCTTCACCCTGAACATCCCCTCACAATTCTTTCCCTATGAATTAGGAATGTTCTTTCTGAGCTCGCGCTTGGGATCCTTTTGTGTCTGGTGGCCTGAGCTAGTAATAGTCAATGCATAGCATTGCATAGGGGTGAAGAGCAGTCAGCAGCTAAGCGCTTTTTGTAAATATCCATTGTTGCTGCTCACCCACCGTGGACAATGGTGAGACTATACAATGTTTGTATAGGAAACTCTGTGTGTGCAACACTAAAGCAATGCCTTTGGAAATCTCAACTCGCTTGCTCATTGTAATGCTTAAGTCCTCCTATAGCCACAACATTGCAGGATCAGCACAGGTACAGAGAGGAAAGGGGAATCCCACCAGGGACACTACAGAATAACTGGATACAGCAAGAACCCTAGCCATGCCCTGAAAGAACAGCAATGCCAGAGCTTGCGTGAGACTTAGGCTTTGACTCCCACGGTGACGGCAGAAGCTGCCGTTTGTTACAGATACCTACAACCCCCACGTGCCGCAGGG